AGGGCCCGCCGCCCGTCGGCCCGCCACCGCCTGGACACCCGCGCTCGGGAAACATGGTCTGTTCAACGCGAGGGCGCTAACCCGGGAGCTTCGTTTCTTTTTTTGGGGTGGGGGGTGGGCGTACTTTAAAAAAACAAACAAACCACATTAACACAACTCTTTCCTTCTCTCCCGCCGATCCTCCCCGTTTGCTTGTCCCGTCTCCTGTCCCCTGGCGGGAGTTGTTTCCACGATGAAATGAGAGAGAACCCGAGGGATCCAGTGTCTCGCGTGGTGCCAGTGAGTCGCTGCCGCTGAAGGCCAAGGGTGGGGGCGGGGCCGGGCGGGCGGCGAGCGGTCCCCGGGCTCGGCCTGGATTTGGGGTTAGCGCCCGCCGCCTCGGCCTCGGCGATGCCCGCGGGCTCGGTCGGGGCGCAGTCCTAGGGAAGCTCCCCTGGGGCACGTGGGCCGCCTCGCGGCCAGGGGTGCTGCCTGACCACAGCCCGAGGGGTCCTTCCATCGCGTTCCGCACCCTTGCCCTCCGCCACCATGGTTCTCCTGGGCAGCAGCCGCCGCCGCCGCCTGAGGGTGAAGTGGGTGATGGGGAAGTTGGAAATGACTCCGCGGTTTTTCCTCCTGGCTCCTTTGGGCGACAGCTGCCCGCCCCCGGTATACACTGTAGTTGATCGCAGGGAAACCCTGAGCCTCTCCCCTTCCTTCTCGACCGACTTTGCACTGTTGTCATTGCCCGCCACCAAGAGTAGCCAATAACAAGCACTGACGATACGCAGCAATAGTGGGACCTGAAATAACTAAGAGTAATTAGGGACTGCAGCCATGGATCGGGCTGGGTAAAATCCAATTGGGTGTTTCCGTTTCATTCACCTTCCCTGTTTTGGTGTTTTGGGGAGGTTTTTTCCCCCTCTCTCTTTTCTCTTTTTTGGTATTTGGAAAGCAAGGGTCACACTTTCCCCTCCCTGTTCCTTTTCACAGTCCCTTTTCTAAAAAAAGGGGAAAATCCGGATGGATTTTAAGGATTGGACTGGTGTCAGCGGTGTTTTATTGCACACCTAGATCCTGGTCATAGGCTTTTTATTCCCCCCAAAGCCTTTATTTTGGCAGGTAAGCCAAATGCGTTTTCCAAAAAATTAGTTCAAGTATTTCTTCCTCTTTCTTTCCTTCCTCCCCTCCCTTTCTCCCATCCCGCCTCCGACGTTACTGTCCGAACATGACTGGGCAGCACCTTTTGTTTCTCAACCCTGTAATATGACAGTCTGCTAATATTGCCAGAAGGTGCAGATTTGGGGTTACAGTCGTGACTTTAGCTATTCAATCATATTAGCAGGGAAAAAATGACTTGTTTCTGTTGTACTTGAGTCTTAAGAAAAAGTGCCCATAGTTTAGTGACAATTTCCAAAGGCTTTAGTACCACCTGTATCTCAAAATGGGGGACCCAAACTCCCGGAAGAAACAAGCTCTGAACAGACTACGTGCTCAGCTTAGGAAGAAAAAAGAATCTCTAGCTGACCAGTTTGACTTCAAGATGTACATTGCCTTTGTATTCAAGGAGAAGGTAATTTAAAGTTCTTACTGTGAATTAGCACACGTGGTTTTTTAAGTTGTTAAATAACAGTGGGACTATGAGCTTAAAGAGTGGTTGGCAAAAGTGTCCTTTGTATGCTTTGATTGCCACCTTTGGGGGAAATTCCCCAATCCGCAGTTGGAGTGTAACTGAATGGAAGGGTGGTGCTCACTGGTTTGGATTTAATTCTAACACTCAGCAGGTCCGCTTTCAGTTAACTTGAGGTGGGCAGCATTAACATTGTAAAATTCTCATTTATGCTTTAGAGTAAATTTCGTTTATGTAGAGTTAGAGAACCTTGTAACTGAATTTAAAGATGGATTAATGTAAAGTATAAATAGATGAATTGGAATAAAAATGTTGGTTAAAAATAGTCTGTTCAAGTCCAGGATATAGGTACCTTCCTCATAGTACATGTAATAGAGTGCACTCTACTTTTAGGAGCAATTAAATACTCAAGTGGTTAATTTGTGTAGAAGGGCAGTTTATTAAAATTAAAAGTGAAATGGGAAGTTTAGATATTTTTGGTCTTAACCAGAATTTCACAGTTAAATAGCAAATAATGAGTTGTGAGTCGTCGAGGAGAAACATGGTAAAGTAGTAGTTGCAGCTTAAAATAATGGCAATTTCTTAATCTCTGACAGTGATATTAGGTTATGAATATAGGAAATATTAGGATTCTGCACTTAAATTGTGAGCTAATTTTAGATCAGTAATGTAACTTTAGTGGTATCTATTTAATACTTGTAAGTTCCCTGGGTTTTTACCCCACTCTTAACTCAGGTTATGGGGCTAAATGCTCTCGCTGCTGCTAGAGTATATATAGCTAGCGTTGTAAGGTGCTTTCAGAAGTGGTCGTTTTGAGTGGTTGCTCCCAGGTTGGGTAGAACCGAAGATTTACTTCTCCATTCTCCGCTTTTGGTAAATAAGTTGACTGGAGAATTGATAAGATCCGATTTTGGTTGATATTGTAGTGCAGGTTCACTAGAAATGAATCCAAGATAGAAGTGGTGAGGCTCAATCTTTGTATTTAATCCAGAAGATGCCCCACACTGTACCATCTGGTTCTTTAACCTGAGAAAACCTGTTTTTATTCTGTGAATGGAGAGGGTTCAGGCACTTGTCCCAAGCAGTTCGTGAATTTTATAACCAGAATTGGTGGCAAGCACTTGGTCTGAACTAAATTTGAAACTCAGTTTGGTAGAGTTTTTCTCTTCAAATATTGACATTTGTAGTTATATACTATCCAGAAGGAATAATGGAAAATGACCTTTTTAAAGAGTAAAACAATTTGTTTTGAAAACTTTGTCTTTAAACTGCTGAGGTTTTAATTTAGCTGTTTGTAGAACCAGTTAAATGAAATTATGTCAAGAGTAAATCACTTTTTTTTTTTTTGTACCTGAGGGATGCTGGTGTTTGTTTCTCACAACATTTGAGAAATAATGTCTTAAATACTGTGGATACCAAAATGCTATGAAACCATGTGGCTAAACATCTGACAGCCTGTTTGGTTGGGGTTGGGGGTTTCAGGAGAACAGAAGGGTTTGCCTATTTGAAAATCTGTGTTTTCAGCACAAAAAGTAGTTTATTTAAGAATTTTGCTGAGTTAGAATAAAGTTATGTGACATTGTAATGTGACTGAGTGTTAGAAGATAGTATGTTACCAGTGGAGTGATACACCTTTTTTTTTTCCTTTTAGAAGAAAAAATCAGCACTTTTTGAAGTGTCTGAGGTTATACCAGTCATGACAAATAATTATGAAGAAAATATCCTGAAAGGTGTGCGAGATTGCAGCTATTCCTTGGAAAGTTCCATGGAGCTTTTACAGAAGGATGTGGTACAGCTCCATGCTCCTCGGTACCAGTCTATGAGAAGGGTGAGCTTTGTGCTTAAGTCTGGATTTGGTGCATTATAGTGAGTTCAGCTTGCATCCCCCCCAACCCCCCTCCAAGAATGTGTAGTTACTGTGGTCATGAAAAGTTGACTTCAAATAGACAACTTTTCTTCTGTGGTGTTACACTGATAATGGTGAGCATTATTGCCTTGAGTAATGTTTTATATTGTCCCTTGGGTTCTTTTTAGGGGGAGAAATAATCTCCTCCTCCTAATAAATAAGAAACTTAAAGTAGAAGATACTGTTGCTGCCCACCTTCTGAACTTCTGCAACTCATTGGAAATTAATCCGGCATATTTGCATAAGAGACCCCCCCCCCCCC